CAGGACTACACGCCACTCAGCAGTGAAGTTGTCAACGCGAACAACACGGTGGAGTGTAGACCTGGGTCCAACTTCCTAGCAGAGTGCATTGAATCCAGGTGGGTGCAAATCGCTTTCAGACAGACTCTTTGCGGGAGTACGCATTATGGACTAATACATGTACTGAAAAACCTGTGACTACCGACCACCCCTTGGGGCCAGAGAAAGCGGTCTTTAGTGGCAGGTGGTCCTTAGTTAGAGGTTCGCACCGCACAACCATAATAATAATTATGAATGTGAGACCGTCCGTGCCTGGCGAAGTGGTCCTGGAATCATGGTTTGACCGTATTGTCCAATGGCCTTTTCAATATCGTCCTCGACATGCATGATCATCCGCCATCGTCCCACACAGCTGAGACGTTCAGCTCGTGCTTGTCTTGATTGCGCTCACCTTTCCCTCCTATGGTATCATATAACTTAAAAACTTCCAAGTTAGTTAGTTGTAGAACATCAGTGCAATGTTATCGCATGAGCTGATTGTTTAGTAACTGGTGGTGTTAGTAGACATTATAGCCTAACTTGTAGTTCCTTGGTCCTTTTTCTTTTCTATAAAGTTATCCTTGGTTCTCCATCCGAGTCCAATAATAATAAGAATTACAGTGAAACTAAGTTACTTGTCTAAGACGACCGCTCAAGGGACCTTCAAAACGTGGTCTCCTTTACCAGGTGGTCTCCTTATCCGGGGTCATTCGACTGGAAATAGCATCCCTTGGTCCTGGTTTCAGTGGTCTTTTAGGACAGGTGGTCACCTTATCCAAGTGGTCGCCTTGACAGGTTTTGCTGTATAACTATGCCCATCGGTGCAGATTGTATAAAACCTGATCGCAACCACCAGTACAGTACTTCTTGAGAGACGATTATGGTCCTCAAAAAAAATTCGCGCAATTATGGTCCTCAGCAGCCTGTGATTGCTTCTCGTTTGCACAATACACGCTATGATGCTGGCGGCGATGATTGCTCGCAAGTACCTACTCATACTCGTCAAAAAAGCTCATCCGCCAATGGCGAATGAATGCTTCAGCACTTTGAGTGCGTCTCCTAAACAGTCACAAAAACGTCTACCCGACTTGCTCCCATGCAGTTACCAATGCTCCTATGCTCCAAAATAGAAAAGCATTTGCGATAATTGCTGATTGCGTCAGATGACGGCGATATCGCTGATTGCAAGGTATTAATTTGTGTCCGAAAGACACTTGAGGCACGTACGTCGGGAAAACGCTAGCCCTAAAAAAATGCGACATTGTCAAAGGGGTGGTCTTACAATTAAGCCATAATAGTTTCACATCTAGCTACTTTTGTTGGCTGCCCAGGTGCGTTTCTCGCTGTGGTTAGTGCAGTTAAAAATCCCTGACCTTAGCGCTTTGTAATATATGCTTTAGTAGCAGTGGCGAGGCTTCACGGAGGGGGCGATGTAGCACATCATAGCATCACAAATTGCATGTAGATAAGTGCTCCTTTTCAAACTTGCACACCATTTTCATACCTGATGAGGGCAATTTTGCCGAAGCGCTGTAATAATTGACTGAGAAACGAGTTCCAGTTGGCAGAGTGAATGGGAGGAGAGCGGGTCTGCTCTGAAACCATTTTTTTGTCCTAAGTACTATGCTCTGTTGTTGTTCATTCGACTTTATTGCAATCGGTTCGGTCAGTAACTCTGATCTCCGCTGGTGAGACCTTATAATGTCGAGCCACTTGCTGCCAGCAAAACGAGCATCTGTATAATCGTGACAGCAATTTTTATCCATTGCCATAAAACGGGCTGCTTTCACCCTGTCACTGAATTCTTTCATACCAGTAGATGTACGTAAACAAAGGCACACATTTTTGAAAACCTTGGGCAAATTCAGTTGTGACTCATGGTTGAACCAATCATCAGACAGCGATAGCTGTAGGTAGGTAGGTACGTTTGAATTTGAATTCGCATAAGCAAAGGGTAACCAGTGTACCTCAGAGTGACGGACCGAGTCGGTCACAACAAAACCTAGTTGAACAACAAACCAGTGTGGTGAAAGATCAAAGCGTCAACTTCAAAGCGCTCCCTGTAACTGGGATCAGCACCGCCATCTCTTCGCTCTAGGAAAACAAAATGCATAACCTGAGCGTAGGCAGTCGCACAGTCGGCTGTTGAACGTTTCTGCGTTTACATTCACCACCACCATTGCGATGATCTGTGATCAATCACATACATACTGTACACTTACTTGCTTAATTACAGCAAAACCTGTCAAGGCGACCACTTGGATAAGGCGACCACTTGGATAAGGCGACCACCTGTCCTAAAAGACCACTAAAACCAGGACCAAGAGATGCGTTTCCAGTCAAAATACCCCGGAAAGGAGACCACCTGGTAACAGAGACCACGTTTTGAAGGTCCCTTGAGCGGTGGTCGTATTAGACAGGTTTACTGTACTTCTTTTCCAGTCATTCGACAAACCTTCTCTGATGGGGTGTTAGTGGCCGAAACAGCTGTCAGAAGGAGTAGGACTTCCATGCTCGAAGTATCCTCTTGTTTCTGTTGTGTGCAAGGGAGTGTATGCATGTGGTCGGCAACAGAGCGCAGTGGTGGTGGTCAATGTCAACGCAGAAACCATGTGTTTGTATTCGTATTTTCTGGAGCCTACACAGGAGTAAGCCGAAATCAAAGGAACTAAAAATGACGCTATAATGTCCACTAGAACCACCAGTTACTAAACAATCAGCTCATGCGATAACATTGCGGTCCGTGTCGTGCAATGTTATAACATGAGCTGATTGTTTAGTTACTGGGGGAGTAAGTGGACTTTATGGCTTAACTTGTAGTTCCTTGGTCCTTTTTCTTTTCTATAAATTCATAACCCAGCGCTTTATGACAGCGCTACTCTACGTGGAATGAATCCAGAGGGTTCATAACGGGCTCCTACAGCCTTCGTTGCCTTAAAAGTTAAAGTCGTTTACCTAAAGATGATCAACACAAAAGGTGCCGTGACGGTTTGTTTGTAGAACAACACCACGTTTTGTTCACGTTTTGTTCACGTGCGCACCTGCTATCAATAGCTACATGGTGCACTTCAAATAGGGATATCTGAATGAATCCTGGAATGCTAAAATGTAGATCCGAAGTGCTCCCCTTCACAACATCCCGCCATAACTAAGGAGTCTAACATCGTTCAAGTGTTCCTTGCACGACATGATTATGTACCATTACTGCCTATCAGATGGTGTCGTCCGAATCTACTTATCAGCTATCAAGTAACCTTACGAGTTTTCTTTCACGACTTGTGCCACTTACATGTACGCTATATTATCATACAAAAGAGAAAGCACCAAGGAACTACAAGTTTCGCTATAATGTCCACTAACACCACCAGTTACTAAGCAATCAGCTCATGCGACTGGTGGTGTTAGTGGACAGTATACCGGTAGCATAACGTGTAGTTCCTTGGTCTTTCTCTTTTGAATAAATTAAACCTTGGCTCTCCATCTGAGTTTAGATTATATCAGGGAGCATTAAATGTTGACCGACGAATTCTGAATCCGAATTCTGTGTATCATCGAGAGATACAACTCTTCCCTGCTCCAGCTGCCCTCCTTTACAACACCAGTCACGCCAAATCAAGCTAGATACGATTTTGTGCACGTCATGCACATGTCGAGATGATTCGATTACCTCACACAGATGTCTTGATCATACGATTACATCATACAGATGTCTACATGTATATCATACATGTACGATTTTGTCAGCCAAATACAGTATCTAGATCATGCGATTGCATTGCATAGGCAACCAGATGTTTGGAACATGCTATTGTGCCTGACATTTGTCTACATCATACAATTCCCGTACATGTAAATGTACATGTACATGTATGTCAAAACAGATGTATACGTCATCAGGTTAATAATTATTAAATCATGCAGATGTCTAAATCATCCGGCTGCATGATAAAGATGTCTAGATAATCGCTTGACAATGCCCCATGGTGACACCTGAAGAAACCTTTCCCAGAATTTACAACTGTAATAAGTATAGTGAATGAGCTTCCATGGTGAAATAAAATCACAGTCCAAAACCCATTGTGTCAGTTCCTGTGCAAAAGGGGGGAAGGCTGATGCATTCGCAGTGGCCACTTTTTTTGTGTTTCATGCGCATAAAGGATTGGAAAACTACAGTTCATTAAAAAGTCCGTATTCGAATCTCCCCCCTCCCCTCCCACTCCCAACCCCCCCCCCCAGTTGAAACCAATCAATAAAAGCAGAATTTGCAAGCCAAGAAATGAAAAGGATGACAGCAGGGGAAACTACATTGTTTTTGCACTGCATAAAATGTGCAAGCTCCGGTTGTGCTATACAGCAGGGGAACAGATGGAGGTCAATTCAGTTTCTGGAGATATCAAGTCAATTCAGTTTCTTGAGATATCAAGTCAATTCAGTTTTCGAGATATCGAGTCAATTCAGTTTCTGGAGATATAAAGTCAATTCAGTTTCTGGAGATATAAAGTCAGTTCAGTTTTTCGAGATATCGAGTCAATTCAGTTTCTGGAGATATCGAGTCAATTCAGTTTCTGGAGATATAAAGTCAATTCAGTTTCTGGAGATATAAAGTCAATTCAGTTTCTGGAGATATCAAGTGTCAATTCAGTTTCTGGAGATATCAAAATTTCTGCTGGGGACAACCATTCAAACATTAGGAAGTGAACAAAGGCTTTCCTGGCAGCTAGTAGACATGACGTGATGTGACGTAATGTGATGTGACGTAATGTGATGTGACGTAATGTGATGTGACGTAATGTGATGTGACGTAAGTTTCATGGTGTAATGGTGGAGGTGACTCAGCATTTTCTTCAATGGCCGAGAGCTCTGTCACACCCTGTAATAATATAGTACCATTTGTGTCCTCGTTTTTATCCATAGCGAATTTGGCTCACCATCCGAGTTCAAATTCTCTGTACTGTCTTGTTTTCTCCATGTATTTCTTCCAGGCGTAGGCGCCATAGATGTGGAAGGCAACGATGAGAACGATCTGGAACTTGGAAGTGGTGGATCTACAACTGAAGAGTCGGGCAGCGACCCAGACATTGGCCTATCAGGAATTAGCAGTGGTGATGTGGAGGAGGGTAGCGGTGTGGAGGATGATTCTGGGCCGGTGAGCATGTCCGGGAACTCTGGCAGCGGTGACGCGGAGGACAATGACGACACCGGTTCCGTGATGGTGTCCGGTGATTCGGGCAGTGGTGACGACGACACTGGTGACACTGGCTCAGCAGCGATGTCTGGAGATTCCAGTAGCGGAGATAACAACATTGGTAGTGGTGATAGTGGTGAAGAATCTGCCTCCAGCGCTGAGACAAGTGCATCCGCCAGTACGTCAGGGAGCGGTGGGGATGATAGTGCTGATGTGATGTCAGGTAGCGCGGCGAGTGCGCCGGCATCAGGAAGCACGTCGGGCGATACCAGTGGTTCAGTGACGGGCAGTGGTGCATTAGATGCATCCGCAGTTGACTCGGCATCAGGGAGTGGCAGTGCCTCGGCAGACAGCACAGGTGATGACAACACGGGAGATACGTCCGCATCTGCCTCAGCCAGTGCTGGTGCAAGTGATACAGGTGAGGACACTAGTGGGGATCAATCGGCATCGGCTTCCGCATCCGCTAGTGCCTCGGCATCAGGGCTAGATGCAGATTCGGGTGGTGCATCAGCATCTGCTAGTGGTTCTGATGATGTTGAATCTGCATCTACATCAGCCAGTGCTAGCGCCAGTGCTTCAGGCCAGGATAACACAGGCGATGAACTGGCATCAGCATCTGCTTCTGCCTCCGCCAGTGCCTCTGCTTCCGCCATTGACCAAGATTCTGGTAGTGGATCTGCATCCGCCAGTGCGTCAGCAGAGGATAGCGGGGTGTCTGCGTCAGCTTCCGGTGAAGAAAGTGGATCAGCTGTAGATAACACAGATGTGGTGCCAACAACAACCTCTGCCACGGTTGCAACCACCTCTGCCACTGTTGCCACCACTTCTGTTCCTGAAACATCAGCAACAGCAGCCACAACAATTACTAACTTGGTGACGTCTCCAACATCAGAGAGCGAGGAAGACTCCGGCAGTGCATCTGCTGTAGACAGTGGCTCTGCCACAATATCAGGTGAAGACAGTGGAAGTGAATCAGCAGACAATTCTGGTGTTGTGACCACCTCTGTTGTGCCCACTACTCCAGCTCCAACCACAGACAGTGGTGAAGACTCCGGAATCGGAGTGGACTCGGGAAGTGCATCAGCGTCAGGAATAGCAGAGGTCTCAGGTAGCACATCAGCATCAGGAAGTGCTGACGACTCCGGAAGTGCATCTGCTTCAGCAAGTGCTGACGACTCCGGAAGTGCATCTGCTTCAGCAAGTGCTTCGGCCAATGGCATTTCTGCATCTGGAAGTGCATCAGCTCTGGATAACTCTGTGGAAGAATCGGGGTCAGCCTCTGCATCAGCATCTGCATCAGCTTCCGCATCAGCTTCCGCATCCGGTGATGATAATACAGGTGATCAGTCTGCCTCGGCTTCTGCCTCTGCCAGTGCCTCTGCATCCGCCATTGATCAAGATTCTGGCAGTGGATCTGCATCCGCCATTGATCAAGATTCTGGCAGTGGATCTGCATCAGCGACTGCGTCAGCAGAGGAGAGCGGAGTGTCTGCGTCAGCATCCGGCGATGAAAGTGGATCAGCAGCGGATGACACAGATGTGACGCCTACAACTACCTCCACAACTGTTGCCACTACCTCTGTACCTGAAACATCACCAACAGTAGCCACAACGATAACTGATGCTGTCACCTCTCCAACATCAGCAAGTGGGGAAGACTCCGGCAGTGCAACTGCTGTGGATAGTGGCTCTGCATCTATATCAGGTGAAGACAGTGGAAGTGGATCAGCAGACAATTCTGGTGTTGTGACTACCTCTGCGGTACCCACTGCTGCTGCTCCAACGACGGAAAGTGGTGAAGACTCTGGCAGTGGTCTGGACTCAGGAAGTGCATCAGCCTCGGGAGCAACAGGTGATTCTGGTAGTGCCTCTGCCTCTGGCAGTGCATCTGCATCTGGAGTAACAGATGAACCACCAAGCGGCGAAGACTCAAGCAGTACATCCGCATCGGCCAGTGCTATTGGGTCGGGAAGCGCATCCGCTTCGGGTGTTGGATCTGTGGACGATATATCTGCATCCGCACCAGGCTCTGGATCTGTATCAGGCAGTGCGAGTGCAAGCGCCTCGGGAGATGACAACACAGATGATCAGTCTGCCTCGGCTTCTGCCTCTGCCTCTGCATCCGCCATTGATCCAGATTCTGGCAGTGGATCCGCGTCAGCTAGTGCGTCCGCAGAGGAAAGTGCGGTGTCTGCGTCAGCATCCGGTGATGCAAGCGGATCAGCTGAAGACAACACAGATTTGACGCCTACAACTACCTCCGCAACTGTTGCAACTACGTCCGCCACCGTTGCAACTACCTCTGCTGAAGAAACATCACCAACAGTGGCCACAACAATAACTGATGTTGTCACCTCTCCAACATCAGCAAGCGGGGAAGACTCCGGCAGTGCATCTGCTGTTGACAGTGGCTCAGCATCTATATCAGGTGAAGACAGTGGAAGTGGATCAGCAGACAATTCTGGTGTTGTGACCACCTCTATTGTGCCCACTACTCCTGCTCCAACCACAGAAAGTGGTGAAGATTCCGGCAGTGCATCAGCCAATGACGTTTCCGCCTCTGGAAGTGCATCGGCGCTGGATAATTCGGTGGAAGAGTCAGGGTCAGCCTCCGCATCAGCGTCCGCATCAGCATCAGCATCCGCATCAGAATCCGGCAGTGCGTCTGCCAGTGCCTCTGCTTCCGCCATTGATCCAGAGTCTGGCAGTGGATCTGCATCAGCTAGTGCGTCAGGAGAGGAAAGTGCGGTTTCAGCCTCAGCATCCGGTGATGCAAGCGGATCAGCTGAAGACAACACAGATTTGACGCCTACAACTACCTCCGCAACTGTTGCAACTACGTCCGCCACCGTGGCAACTACCTCTGCTGAAGAAACATCACCAACAGTGGCCACAACAATAACCGACGCTGTGACCTCTCCAACATCAGCAAGCGGGGAGGACTCCGGCAGTGCATCTGCTGTGGATAGTGGCTCTGCATCTATATCAGGTGAAGACAGTGGAAGTGGATCAGCAGACAATTCTGGTGTTGTGACTACCTCTGCGGTACCCACTGCTGCTGCTCCAACGACGGAAAGTGGTGAAGACTCTGGCAGTGGTCTGGACTCGGGAAGTGCGTCAGCCTCGGGAGCAACAGGTGATTCTGGTAGTGCCTCTGCCTCTGGCAGTGCATCTGCATCTGGAGCAACAGATGAACCACCAAGCGGCGAAGACTCAGGCAGTACATCCACATCGGCCAGTGCAATTGGGTCGGGAAGCGCATCCGCTTCGGGTGTTGGATCTGTGGTCGATATATCTGCATCCGCATCAGGCTCTGGATCTGTATCAGGCAGTGCGAGTGCAAGCGCCTCGGGAGATGACAACACAGATGATCAGTCTGCCTCGGCTTCTGCCTCTGCCTCTGCATCCGCCATTGATCCAGATTCTGGCAGTGGATCCGTGTCAGCTAGTGCGTCCGCAGAGGAAAGTGCGGTGTCTGCGTCAGCATCCGGTGGTGCAAGCGGATCAGCTGAAGACAACACAGATTTGGCGCCTACAACTACCTCCGCAACTGTTGCAACTACGTCCGCCACCGTTGCAACTACCTCTGCTGAACTAACATCACCAACAGTGGCCACAACAATAACTGATGTTGTCACCTCTCCAACATCAGCAAGCGGGGAGGACTCCGGCAGTGCATCTGCTGTGGATAGTGGCTCAGCATCTATATCAGGTGAAGACAGTGGAAGTGGATCAGCAGACAATTCTGGTGTTGTGACCACCTCTATTGTGCCCACTACTCCAGCTCCAACCACGGAAAGTGGTGAAGGTTCCGGCAGTGCATCAGTCAATGACGTTTCCGCCTCAGGAAGTGCATCTGCTCTGGATAATTCGGTGGAAGAATCAGGGTCGGCCTCCGCATCAGCGTCAGCATCAGCATTATCATCAGGCAGTGCGTCTGCCAGTGCCTCTGCATCCGCCATTGATCCAGAGTCTGGCAGTGGATCTGCATCAGCTAGTGCGTCAGGAGAGGAAAGTGCGGTTTCAGCCTCAGCATCCGGTGATGCAAGCGGATCAGCTGAAGACAACACAGTTGTGGTGCCAACAACTACTTCTGCAGCTGTTGTGACCACCTCTGCCACCGTTGCAACTACCTCTGCACCTGACACATCACCAACAGTAGCCACAACGATAACTGATGTTGTCACCTCTCCAACATCAGCAAGTGCGGAAGACTCCGGCAGTGCATCTGCTGTGGACAGTGGCTCAGCATCTATATCAGGTGAAGACAGTGGAAGTGGATCAGCAGACAATTCTGGTGATGTTACCACCTCTATTGTACCCACTACTCCAGCTCCAACCACAGAAAGTGGTGAAGATTCCGGCAGTGCATCAGTCAATGACGTTTCCACCTCTGGAAGTGCATCTGCTCTGGATAATTCAGTGGAAGAGTCAGGGTCAGCCTCCGCATCAGCGTCAGCATCAGCATCAGCATCCGCATCAGAATCAGGCAGTGCGTCTGCCAGTGCCTCTGCTTCCGCCATTGATCCAGAGTCTGGCAGTGGATCTGCATCAGCTAGTGCGTCAGGAGAGGAAAGTGCGGTTTCAGCCTCAGCATCCGGTGATGCAAGCGGATCAGCTGAAGACAACTCAGATGTGGTGCCAACAACTACTTCTGCAGCTGTTGTGACCACCTCTGCCACCGTTGCAACTACCTCTGCACCTGACACATCACCAACAGTGGCCACAACGATAACTGATGCTGTCACCTCTCCAACATCAGCAAGTGGGGAGGACTCCGGCAGTGCATCTGCTGTGGACAGTGGCTCAGCATCTATATCAGGTGAAGACAGTGGAAGTGGATCAGCAGACAATTCTGGTGCTCTGACTACCTCTGCGGTACCCACTACTGCTGCTCCAACGACGGAAAGTGGTGAAGACTCCGGCAGTGGTCTGGACTCAGGAAGCGCATCAGCATCTGCCTCGGCAAGTGCTTCTGGTTCTGGCAGCGCATCCGCTTCAGGTGTCGACCCGGCTTCCGGGAGCGGTTCGGCATCTGCGAGTGCGCAGGACTCGGGCAGTGCAAGTGGGTCTGTGGACGGAACCGGTGATGCATCTGCCAGCGGTTCGGCTCAGGACAATACGGACGAGCAGCCTACATCCGTCGCGACGTCAGTTGCAACATCCACTGCTACTGTTGCCACATCTACTGATACATCTGCCGTCACATCCGCCCCTACGTCACCTCCAACTGTAGCCCCGACAACAGAGGAGAGCGGTGAGGACTCAGGAAGTGTACCGGACTCCGGCAGCGGCTCAGGCTTCTCAGCTGATGATAGCACGATGACGATATCTGGTGGCATGAGTGGTAGCGCGTCCGCTGATAATACCGGCGATGAGGGGTCTGTATCTGGTTCGATCATTGCCGGTGCCTCTGCATCGGCGAGTGGTGTAGACCCAGGAAGTGCCTCGGCATCAGGAAGTGCATCTGCCCCAGGCAGTGCCCCAGATTCAGGCAGTGCCCCTGATTCGGGTAGCGCCCCGGATTCAGGCAGTGCCCAAGATTCAGGTAGTGCCCAAGATTCAGGTAGTGCCCCGATGTCAGCCAGCGCCTCGGCATCAGCGAGTGCTCAGGATTCCGGTAGTGCCTCAGCGTCAGCAAGTGCCTCTGCTTCTGGTAGCGCGATAGAGTCAGGCAGCGCTGTGGATTCAGCCAGTGGTTCCGTGTCGGGAAGTGCCTCAGCATCTGGTAGCGTTCCAGACCAGGGAAGTGCGTCGGCATCAGGAAGCGCCCCAGCGTCCGGGAGTGCCTCAGGGTCGGGAAGTGCCTCGGCGTCCGGGAGCGCTCCTGATTCAGGCAGTGCCGAAGACTCGGCGTCAGGAAGTGCGTCTGCCGATTCAGGCTCAGCATCTGCCGATTCTGGCTCAGCATCTGCCGATTCAGGCTCAGCATCTGCCGATTCTGGCTCAGCATCTGCCGATTCAGGCTCAGCATCTGCCGATTCAGGCTCAGCATCTGGAGATTCAGGCTCAGCATCTGGAGATTCAGGCTCAGCATCTGGAGAGTCGGGATCAGCCTCCGCCTCGGGAGAGGGAAGCGGAATTGCAGTCAGTAAGTAACTGTTGCACTGTTCTCTGTGTATGTGTGCGTGTGTGCGCGTGTGTGCGTGTGTGCGTGTGTGTGCATTGGTGTGTTTGTGTGTATATTGTTGTTGTTGTTTATTTTACTTCACCAAATGAACAGACAGAGATGCCTTCTCACCTGCCCATAGGACAGGTTCTCAAAGAATGATGAAGGGATGATATGCAAGGGAAAACAAGAAATGATAATAATAATATAAGACAGAAAGGACCAAAAGAAGAAAAGGAAAAATTATATGAAGACAATTTCATGGAGTCAGAAATAGAAAAACAAAATGTGTGTGTATGTGTGTGCGTGTGAGTATGCGTGCGTGTGTATGTGTGTGTGTTTGTGTGTGTGTGTGTGTCTAAAAGTTATGGTGTCCCTTTCACATCCTGCTTTGTCACTGGCAAAAAAATTCTGAACCGCTAGCACTGAAACTGCAACGTTTTAGTACAGTAAGCCATTGCGCCATCTCAGATTGATCATGCAGCATGACCTGATTGACTAAAATTAGAACAATCCGAGAATGCACAATGGACAAGTCCAACATCAAATGCGCAGTCTACTCAGGCTTAGCTGTTGACCCGGCCGTTGCTCTGGGTGTCTCCACCGCCGCCATTGCTGATCTCGTCACCCTTCTCGTTTCAGTTGTTGTCTTTGCCAGTGAGTTAGTGAGTGTTATAATTATCAGGTTGCTTCTTTAGCGGTCTGCCAAGCTTGAGATCAGTGGACACTTCCGATGATGATTTACCGGCGTTACTCGCATGGATAGTTGGTTGGAAGGTGACGTTCTTTGGGATTAATGCCGCTAATTCCTGAACACGCATGCGACCACGGAGGGGACGCCCGCCGAAGAGTCCCCCGGGAACGAGATGGTCCAACACAGCGGCATTAATCGCAAAGACCGGTGTCTGTGCATTCGAAAGCGGACCTAATTTACTCGTGAGGTTGGGTTTCTCCGGCCTTCACTGTACAAACTGACTGTGATGTGAGTCCAACACACTCTCCATGTGAACCAGGCCATCATCGTTCAGGGGACAAATTACGTAGCCAGTAGTGCGTTAGTGTTTTGTTTTTATTTAGTTTAGTTGTTGTTGTACATGTACATGTATGTAGGCAGGCACAGTGGGTTGGTCTAAGACCATGATTGAGAAACGAGAGGTACCAGGTTCAAGTCCTGCTTGGAATCGGAAGGGATTTTCCAACCGTCCTGCGATCCACAGTTAATTGGGAACTCGTGGCCTGGCATGAGTAAAACATGGATGTGGTAAATGGGATCGAGGCCTTTGGCCTCTGGTTGGTGGAACTGATCTATCCTCACCCACCGTTTAGGAGCCGCATCTGACGCCTGATCATGGGGTGGTGGCGTCCCACGGAAGCGGAAAGGTGGCTCTTGACCAGGGAGTTGTACGACTCCTTGTTCTTGACCTGCCCGGTACGCGAACCCGTCGAATTTGTTTTGTGCATGTATACGTTGTTGTGTACTTTATTTATAGTGGAAATCAAAAACAGGCGCAATGCCTAATAGCAATGGACACACTGTGAATACAAGTTTTAAAAGGATATTGTGAAAAGTCGAGATAGGCAAAAAAGAAGACGAACGGTTGGTTCTAACGAACAGTTATCATGCCAGTGAGCTATAGAAAACCTACGCAGCTGATAATAATATATACTGCAAAGCTTGAGATTTGAAATCCAAATACATGTACCTATTTTGAACATTTAGTTCGTTACCTCAATAGAACAATGTACCCACAAAGCAAAAGTGTAAATGACAGCAGTCGTGAAAGATAGCACTACAATTGACAGTGGCATGGCGAATGATTAGAACACAACACCAAAAAATGAAAACAATTGTATGTGTGAAAAAACGCAATGGTACAATGTACCACTTCCAAGAGGGTCGAACAAGAAACAAAATATCTGAGGGTCATCAGAAAGGGTTAAGTGCGTTCGTGTAAAGCGAAACGGCAGATGTAATGTTTGCAGGGCGTTCAATTGCATGTCGTTACAACATCACTGTGTTTGAACTACCATCATCACGCGTGGACGCAGAATTTTCAAGGGCCGAGTGTAGTGGTGGTGCTGCTTACATTCTTGACGCGTGGCCAGTCGTAAATAAACCCGGGTTTGTTTCGCTGTATTGAGCAGCGCTTGGTCGACCAGTTCACCTCATTAACCGGATAATCGAGCTTCTTCACAAGCTGCCGGATCTCAGTGAGGTTAAGAGAAGGCAAATAACGACGGCAAAGCTGACAGGGCGCAGATTCCGAGAGTGCAAGACACTGGGCCATGACGTTGATCACCTCACGAAAGGCGAAGCAGAGTCTACGAAGCAAACCCAATCCAGCACAAGAGTTTATAACTTTAAAAGTGACACTCGTCCATTTGCATAATATCATGGTTCACAAAGAGAGCAAAATTTAAGTCGCAGCTCCCGTGCCTGTGTCGGAAGAATGGAGTTGTTCAGCCCTACATAACAAAGTCACCCTCGCCGCTAGGCGCTGCATGTACCACCTTGGCATACCAGGCACGGTGGTGGCCTGACACAAGCGAAACCTTCTAACCAGGTTGTGCTATTCTACACAATTGTATAGCTGGTGGTAACGCGAACGTGTAAACTTTACTTTTTTTATAATTATAACAAAGTCAGCACTGAGAGAAAGATGACCACTTGCAGCAGAAATTAGATCCTCTCGAACTTCGTCGAGTGCCAAACACCTTGCATATAAGGAACTAGTCCAATGCCTCGTTCGCGACATGCTGACTCCTGCGCTAGGTCCAGAACACTAGACTACGGGATCGTCAGAGCCGCGGAGAGAAGTACACTGTCTCTGCGCAGAGCGTCAGAGCCGCGTCAGGGAGCGTCAGAGCCGCGGGGAGAAGTACACCGTCTCTGCGCAGAGAATGGACCACGCGTCTCTACAACTACGGAATGTGCTAGCGTTGATCCATCTGCTTCGGTCGTCTCTCTTTCTCTCTCACTTCATCCTTAGTCATTTAGCTGAGAGGAGCGAGTGTAGCAAGGGAGTTCGGTCGTCTCCCTTTCTCTCACACTTAATCCTTAGATCCTTAGTCAGTAGTTTTGGCTGAGGGGAGTGGGTGTGGTGAGGGAGCGAGGAGAGAGAGAGAGAGAGACTGAGTGAGCGGAGGAGACCGGAAAGTTGGTGGACATCCGTCCGGCCAGCCATCCCCTCACAGTCTTTCTGCTCACCAGTTTCGACCAGCCATAACGTTTTACGCCCAGAACTAGTTTCGAAGTAGGGACAGAGAAAAATATGAGCTGGAAAAATCCCTGTGGCCCACTGACGGCGGTCGTGCTTCTGTTGGTCAGTTCTGGAGCACTGGGACAGTTTCCCACGTTTCCTAATGGGCCATGTCGAGATGAAGCTTCCGTGCCGATAAAGTGCTTACCTAGCTCGCTGAATGTTATCCAAGAGATTCTTGCACCGGCTTCGTTTGTCAGCAACAGTACGTGTAGCATGGAGCAATATTGTGGTAGGTCTCAGCCATTCGAAGCACCTCTCGGATCACCGGTGTTTTGTGATACTTGCTCACCGGGCGAGTTCCCCTTCAATCCTGCCATCTCCGACGTCGAGACTAGACCGTTAGTGGAGCGAACGCGCTGGCAATCAGCTGTTTTCCCGGACACGACCACAGCGGTGGTGTTCGAAGCCACACTGCTGCGCCCATTCGTCTTGTCCTCGTTCAACATGGAGTTCTTCTTCACCATGCCACAAGCTCTGATCGTCGAGCGATCCGCAGACTTCGGTGCAACGTTCTCACCGTACATTTACTTCGCAGTCGACTGTGAGGCTAGGTTCGGCATCCGACCCTCGTCTGACCCTCTGTCCATCCAACCAACACCGGAAAACCCCAACGTGGTGGTGTGTATCGCGATCACGAACCCTGGCGTTGCCGATGGCGTATTTTACAATCTGCGGGAGCGCCGCATCCCGTCAACACAACTCCCCGCTAGTGTGCAAACGGAAGTGAGCATCGAAACGGACGACAATTTGCGCAATTGGCTGACCGTTACCAATTTCCGAGTCACCCTGGATGGAGTGACGCTGCCGGCCAACCTGTCAGCCACTGCCAATAGTTCATTTAACTTCTACTCGTCTTACCAGCTTGTTATGCTGGGTCAGTGCGAGTGCTTCGGACATTCGAGCGGCATCTGCGAGGCGGGTAACGTGTCCAACGATGCCATCGGGTTCGGTTGCCAGTGCGAGCATAACACAGCAGGCTTGGACTGTGGCGAGTGCAGGCCTGGTTTCGTGGACGTCCCGTGGCGGCCATCGCGTCTCCTCGACCCCTTCGAGTGTGAAGGTAAGTACACTACAGGTTCCTGCACGAGTACGAGTAACGAGGGCAGTACCGCGGAATTCAGCCTTGGTCGCGATAGCGGCAAGGGCCGGATGAACAGCGGGAATGGCCGAGTATGAGTGACTGGAACGTGTTTTCCGTGTGCACCCAAGCCAAAGTTGCAAAGAGATAATATCTCTTATAATATAAGAGATATTATCTCTTTGATATTATGACGTCATGCTTACCAGTATGAAATGCTGCATATACATGTACATGTACACTAGGGTGTGCGGATTCTGCTCGAAAAGCAGTGAAATAGGCAGAACCATACAAACTTTATTGCGGGCAATTCCTCGAATTCTGCTTCATTTCTTTATCCACATACCAAACATGCATGAAACTTACCAGAAAAAGTACCGAATTCTGCCAATTTTTCTGCCGGCATTATCCGCATATGCCTAATGTACACATGTTTGGCATTTAAGTGGTCTTTGTAAAAAATAAAATAAAATAAAAAACACTGTACACTGTGTTTTATTATTGTTTCCTGGCAGTAGTCCATGCATAGTGCCTTTTCTCATGGTGTTAATTTTCGCTCTGAGCGCAGAATAACATGATTGCGTTGTTCTCTAGATGAATAGGCGACGAGGAGATACATGTAAATACAGCAATAGATAGTATCAGCGAAGCGGACATTTACGCAACGAACAAAGAGAAAGGGTTTGCTCCCCACACCGGAGCTCGCGCTATTCCGCCGACTTTACGTGACACTTGACTGACTCACGACTGCCATCCAGAGCACACGAGAAGTCCATCGAACCTTCGACTCGGCAAACCTGCAAGAAAGCACCACTCCCTGCTCAATACACAGTGTTTCGGGGAATTCACCCCTCATCAGTTGAGCTTGAGTAGGCTGAGGAAGATTGTGCCTGAAGAGCACCACTTATATAGTGCTCTCCAGGCACAAACATCACCAGGGATACAAACTTACAGAGACGCTCCGTTTCCAGCGCGACAAACACCTCGTGAACACCAGATAGCAGCGTGAGTCAGTGTCGCTCCTGGACGGTGAGACAGACGTCGAGGACCCTCGGTCATTCGCATCGCTGTTGTGCCCAGCGCGGGCTTGCGACTAGTTGGTTTGGAGGTGACAGCGATGCGAATGACCGAGGGTCCTCGACGTCTGTCTCACCGTCCAGGAGCGACACTGACTCACGCTGCTATCTGGTGTTCACGAGGTGTTTGTCGCGCTGGAAACGGAGCGTCTCTGTAAGTTTGTATCCCTGGTGATGTTTGTGCCTGGAGAGCACTATATAAGTGGTGCTCTTCAGGCACAATCTTCCTCAGCCTACTCAAGCTCAACTGATGAGGGGTGAATTTCCCGAAACACTGTGTATTGAGCAGGGAGTGGTGCTTTCTTGCAGGTTTGCCGAGTCGAAGGTTCGATGGACTTCTCGTGTGCTCTGGATGGCAGTCGTGAGTCAGTCAAGTGTCACGTAAAGTCGGCGGAATAGCGCGAGCTCCGGTGTGGGGAGCAAACCCTTTCTTGCAAATCATCGCTGAAGTCGCAACCACTACTTCGAACAAAGAGAATGTGTTGAAAGTAATGTTCTTTTAAAATCGATTTTCTTGAGACCAGCATTCTTTGTGCAAGATCACTGCGCAAGCGACATGGCCATCTAGAATGTCCCTTTAATAATCCAGGCCCGAATGTATCTTGCCAGAGTGCTCAAACTGACAAGTCAATGAGCTTTGCATAACCCAAACAGCAAAGGCGCTACCCCACACAAGAGTGCTCAACGGCTACAAGAGCAGGAGCGAAGTACTTCCATGTAATGTGCGGACAGAACTGTATGGTGCAGTGCGCGCGTTCCTGGCAAACCGAACATGGTGTACAGTTTGTCATCATAGTTTGGTCGAGGAAGCCGTAAGTCTGGTAGGACCAAGCGCTTGTTGAATAATTTTGCGAGAGAAATCAATCTCTTCCGGGAAAGTGGCCTACATTGGTGTTTTGTCAGTTACTAGCGCACTGCCAGGAAGAGTGTCTTCCCGACCCGGCCTAAGACTGCAGGTTTTGGTACTGTACATCCACTGCCAAGAAACCTTTGAGTCAAAAGCATCTTCGTCGTCACGGAGGCCTGTAATACATCATGCAGTTCCGGAAAACTCTCTAAAACTTACCAATGCTTCGCGTTTCATAGAAAAACTGACACATTTTGCTGAGCCTAGATCACTCAGTTACAGCTTAGCAGTTTACGCGCGAAATGCTGTAAAACCGAAAAGTCTAACGAGTCACGAGGTCTAATGTAACAAAATGGAACACTATTTTTCGTTATCTGAAGAAACGTTATCGCGAACCCGGTTTGACATGTCTGTGTAAAGATGCACATACAGAGATGGTTGGCCAGGTAGCCATCGTTAAACGCTCTGCCCTTTATCATGCCAGAATTACAAAAACGTTAAACCTTTTGGTCGTTAAACCTTCCGGTACATGTACATGTATATGGGCCACAGACGATGAATAGCGATACATCTGCAAGACTGACTACACGTCTACAGTGGGCCAAAAGTATGCCGCGCTGCTACTTGCTGCTAGCCTGAACTACAGCCTGCAACAAGCTATCTTGCAGGTACTTAGTATGAGTGAATCGCCAGCAAGTACTGTATTTTAAAACTATTTTTATCTTTTAATTTTTTAATTTTTTTTGCTACCGATTTAACGATTGTGTTTAGAAACACAACCGTTGAACCAGCACTTGATCGCGAGACTCACCTTTCTACTCAATGATGCAGGACACTACAACTTAAGTTAGAGGTGCTGCTGTATATTGAAACGGAAAGTGTAAATATTACCAGCATTGTAATTAGCCCTCGACAGGTACTATAGTCATGTCTATACATACTGATAATTTTTAGCATTGGTACAAGCAGTGTTCAGGATCACCATGCAGTACATTGTGGCGTTTTAGCCATGACGGCATGAGTACCTTATTTAAACCAGATCTTCGTTTTTTGCTGCCTATTCTCTCTGGCTGGCCCTGCCTCTATCAGTAAAATCGTCTTGTACGCTAAATGATTTCAAGGCCAACATGAAGCTCGTGTTGTACTAACTGCTAATTCTTCATCTACATTTCTTTCTCTTTGTCTCCAGTAATGTGTAATATTTATTATTATTTTTTTCTTTTGCTTTGTTTTTGTTTACTGCCATGCCTGACTACCGCCCCCCTCCCTCCATATTGGCCTATATTATCTGGCCACGGGAAGGTGAAATAAAAAAATAAAAGTAGAGTTTAGAATTTAACCCTTTATGGACTGAACTCAATGGATGTGAAGAATTGTGCACTCAAATTATTTACCTTGAATTGGACGTAACTTTCGTTTCCCTGGGACACGTTACTAGTACAGAAAACCTGTCAAGGCGACCACTCGGAAAAGGCGACCACCTGTCGCAGAAGATCACTACAACCAGCACCAAGGGATGTTATTTCCGGTCAAATGACCCTGGATATGGAGACCACCTGGTAACAGAGAGCACGGTTTGAAGGTCCCTTGAGCGGTGGTCGTCTTAGACAGGTCTCACTGTACTAGTACTTGGCGGTCGTGAGTGCTGCGTATTTAGCAGCTGCATGCCGTAAGATTCGCGGCTGTGTGTGTGTTGTTGTTGTTGTTGTTGTTGTTGTTGTTGTTGTTGTTGTTGTTGTTGTTGTTGTTGTTGTTGTTGTTGTTGTTGTTTGTTGTTGTTGTTGTTTTTCATTTTACACTGCATGGCTAACAGTCAGATCTGCCCAATAGGCTGGTTTTGTTGACTGAATCCCAGTCAGTACATGTATTCCCACAGCTGTGTGTAGACTCAATCCTATAGCATTTTTAACGTGCGTATTCTTTCTTTTTTGATGTGCTCTGTCTGCCGGCGGCTGATGCTTAGTATGCACCTGCAACGACCACGCTGACGTGGAGGAATGTGTGTTCAGCATACAGAGGTTCTTGGCAACAGGAAACACCACGGGTGGTGTCTGTCAGAATTGCCGCGATAACACAGCTGGCCCGCAGTGCGAAACGTGCGCTGAGCTCTTCTACCCGCAGACTGGGGTGCCCCAGACCCAGCTGGACGTGTGTATACGTAAGTGAAAGCTGTACGCTCGTGCCAGAGCTCCCACGGCATAGCCGTCTAGGGAGCGTTCGTTAAATCCTTGCATGCAGATATTATTATCAGTGGACTGGAATTGTCAGCATTGCTTTCTTTGCTTGCCCTCTTTAACCTGTGCATCATTATTATTATTATTATTATTATTATTATTAAACTCAATCTCGTAGCATGTGCACGCATGGCTAATGTGGGGAGCAACCCCAGAGATGAGGGCGATAACCAGCCATGGTAAAAGTACAAATGAAAACAAGAAAACAGTGGAAAGAAAGGAACAGGGAGGAAAACAAAGCTCGAAAACGCAACTCAGTACAAACAACTTGGCGAAACTGAGACATGCTGTGGCAGTGGTGGGCGAGGCTTGATAGCTTGAGCCAGTCAGAATAGGAATGAAACAAAGGGGATTTTGTAAACTGGACAGTGCGAGCTGCAGGTAGCGAGACTTGTGCCCTTGTTGAACGGCTCCCCACAAACCAGTCATAGGGAAAGAGATTCCTTGGTACTTTCTCGGGTTTTATCTTTTGAATTAGCATGTTGCTGTGGAGACTGCGTCGAATAGCCCATCCAGTTTCCAACGCCCAGTTTGTTATAAAAGAAAGGCATACTTCTCGAAATTATTACTGGGTTGAGCCACGGCGGATGGTGTTCGGAGCAGTATTCTTCCAGACATACACAGGAGTTAGCTGGCAATGAGTATTCTGTGTGCAGTCCCGGAGAATGACTGGAATTCATATTCTGTACACATAGACAGTTAAACCTGTAACTAACGACCACCCCTTGGGGCCAGAGAAAGCGATCTTTAATGGCAGGTGGTCCTCAGTTAGAGGTTTGCACGGCACAACCATAATTAAAATGAATCTGAGACAATCCGCGCCTGACGAAGTGGTCTGTAGTACAAGGCTGGTCGCTAGTCACGGTGGTCTTTAGTTACAGGTTTTACTGTAGTACCAGGCTGGTCGCCAGTCACGGTGGTCTTTAGTTACAGGTGTTACTGTAGTACCAGGCTGGTCGCTAGTCACGGTGGTCTTTAGTTACAGGTTTTACTGCATATGGATAAGAACTCACTGCTGAAGTGGAGCAGTGATGAAAACAGTGAGGTGGAAGACATTTTGCTTTGTTGGCGAGTATTTTTGTTATGGTGCATGCCGTGCAGAAGAGCAAAGCATGTGCATGTCGATTTTTCTCTCCAAGCATCGCCATGATCTACACTGCATGGTCTACACTGCATGGTCTACACTGCATGATCTACACTGCATGGTCTACGTCTTTGGCTTCACGCTTGTTGTTGCTGCTGCTGCTTGAGAAGGAGTTGATTCACAATGCGAATAACGTGAAACCATAAAGGAAGAACCGAAGGAGAAAGACAACCCAAATTCGGAAATAAATAGAACACTCTAAATGTTAGATTGAACACAAAAGCTTGACAAGAACCCGTTTCCTTATTACTAATGGCCTACCGGCAGGTAAAGGCAAAGTCACGCCTCTGTTGCCGCTAGGCATTGGCGGATAATGCTCGAAAAGGTGGCAGGTTCTGCTCGAAAAGCAGTGAAATTGGCAGAACCATACAAACCTTATGGCGGGCAATTCCTCGAACTCTGCTCCATTTCTTGATCCACATACCAAACATGCCTGAAACTTACCAGAAAAAGTACCGAATTCTGCCAATTTTTCTGCCGGCATTATCCGCAAAGGGCTAGTTGCCGCTGTTCGTACAGGATAGGCACTTGGAGCTTCCCTGCTGAATCTGTACTATGCGATGCTATGCCTGCACGTCACGGATCTCCGGTCAATTCAGGTTTTACCATGCACACTTGCCTCAAGTTCTCATTCCCTTCTCTCCTCCTCCCATGTCCTCTGGTCGTGCAGCGTGTGACTGCAACGCCGGAGGCGTGACGGACAATGGCGACTGTGCCAAGATGGCGAACGGTTCGTTCCCGAACGGCCAGTGCAACTGCAAGGTCAACACCATGGGACGCGACTGTGGAACGTGTACCAGCACGTCGTTCAATTTGGATGTGAACAATGTCCTGGGCTGCACTGGTAAGCAACCGTTGCTCATTGCCATCGCTGCAACACAGGTACTGTAAAAACCTGTCAAAGCGACCACACCGATAAGGCGACCACCTGTGCTGAAACTTGGAAGGCCACTGAAACCAGAACAAAGGGATGCTATTTCCAGTCAAATGACCCTGGATAAGGAGACCACCTGGTAGCAGAGACCACGTTTTCAAGGTCCCTTGAGCGTTCGTCTTAGACAGGTTTCACTTGGTCCTGGTTTCATTGGTCTTAGAGTATAGGTGGTCGACTTGTTCAAGTGATCGCCTTGACAAGTTTAATTGTACAGTGAATTTCAGAAAGGGCTGTCGCCATGTACTTGCATGTGTTCTAGGCCAGACTCCATAATTGGTACATGTACATGTAGCTTGAAAAGGCGCTGTCAATGATTGCTAGGTTAGCAGGCTTTTATCTCGCACATCGTGACAGTTAGGAGTTACCATTATTTCCGGTGTGCTAGCCGCACAAAAAAACTCCCGGTAGTAAATCGCCCCTCCGGACTAGGCTCCGAGTGGTGGATGTGAATCGACCAGCGCTACAGCCCTCCACGCATGCCATGAACGTACATGTACATGTACATGGAGTATGACGTCATTCGACTACTGTTTCATGGACATGTATGTACTGCAATGCATCGTACAGTGCTGGCAACTGAAATCCGACCCCTCACAGCGCAAACACCTAACACGGGCTGGTAAACTACGAAACAGAGACCGCTAGAATGTGGACGCATCACTAAGGGGTGGGATTTCAGTTGCCAGCTCTGTATGAATCTTCTACACGTTGCAAGTTCAGAGCTAAGGACAAACTAGCAATCTTTTGCTAGACCTTCATGCAGTGGTGCTTCTCAACCTTTACTGGCATTGGTGATGTACTGGTTGGCTGTCAATATTCAAAGTCTGATATGCGGTTTATACTCCGAATGTCAAGAAAAATAGACGAGATGAATTCCAGCGCAGACATGATAGGACATACATGTACATGTGCATGTAGCATTATCCCCCATAGAAGTACACATCTCCACACTCCAACATCTTCCGTTAGGAGTGCTGACCCGTATGATGATCAACAACACAATTACATCTGATAGCGCATGAAGTGTCCTTATGTCTCATCAAAGACGTCGGGTTGTATCGTGACGACGGCCTGGCTGTGTTCAGGAATGCATCAGGACATGAAGCTGACCGAATAAGAAAGGAGATGACCAAAATATTCCAGAACCTCGGACTGAAGATAACGATACAGACAAACCTGAAGAGAGTCGACTTTCTGGACGTGACATTGGACCTGACCAGGGTAAAGTACTGCCCTCATCGGAAACCGAACGACAAGCCGATGTGCATCAATTGCCAGTCAAATCATCCACCTACAATTATCCAGAACCTACCTGCATCGATCAGCAGAAGACTCACAGATATTTCCAATGATGAAGACGTCTTCAGAGATGCGACTCCGATCTACAGTGACGCGCTGAGGAAGAGTGGTTACCCGGAGAACGTACAGCATTTTGACTAGCGTAAAACGGACGAGACAAAAAGAAGAAGAAAACGAATCGCCACCGGAACATCATGTGGTTCAATCCACCATTTAGCAAGAACGTCGCCACCGACGTCCGACATCGCTTCCTCCAGCTAGTGGCCAAACACTTCCCCAAAGGCTCAAGCCTCAACAAAATCTTCAACCGGAACTCGGTAAAGGTTAGCTACAGTTGCATGCAGAATATGGCCACTATCATCAAACAACACATTAACACGATTCTTCGACCCAAGGAACAAGCCAACGGAGGTGACAACGACACCAGGACTTGTAACTGTCGGGCGAAAGACGCATGTCCACTGGACGGAGCGTGTCTAACGGAGAGCATCGTGTATAAGGCAAGAGTCACCGCAGAATTGTGGTTAAAAAAATGGAGCAGAATTCTAGGAATTGCCCGCCATAAGGTTTGTATGGTTCTGCCAATTTCACTGCTTTTCGAGCAGAATCTGCCACCTTCTCGAGCATTATCCGCCAATGCCTACTTGTTTCACCCAGTTGCTTGCAGTGTGTGTACTCATTGGCACCCTTAGTCTATACAGTAAAACCTGTGACTAACGGACAGTCGAACACCCTTCGGGGGCCAGAGAAAGCGGTCTTTAGTGGCAGGTGGTCCTTAGTTAAGAGGTTGCACCAGACAATCATAATGAGACCGTCCGTGCCTGGCGAGGTGGTCTGTAGTACCAGGCTGGTCGCTAGACACGGTGGTCTTCAGTTGCAGGTTTTACTAGTTTAAGTGTACTGCTGTCCTAGTGTGCCATATGATCCTGTATTGTATGGCACCCCCCCCCCTTCCCCTACAGTGTGTGTAGCACGTGACCGATGTTTTCAAGAATGAGCAACATTTAAAGTACAGATCTCCACTAGTAGCACAGCGCTGACCCCTAGATTTCCAACCACGTGATAACGGTGGGCATTTACTGGAGATAATAATGTGGTAACTCTAGACGGCTGGATTCCAAAACATCTTGCTCATGTTCTGCTTTTTTTTGGTGTAGATTGTGCCTGCGAGGCAGCTGGAACGGTTGGAGGCAGTTTGGAGTGTGGCAATGTGACTGGTCAGTGCGACTGTAAGTCCAACGTGGTGGGACGCCGCTGCAACCAGTGCATGTCAGGGTTCTTCGGACTGAACGCTAGCCTTGCGGACGGCTGCCAACCGTGCGACTGTGAGCTTGCCTCCTCGGCGGATAGCCAGTGTGACGCGACGAGCGGACAGTGCATATGCAGACCTGGGTTCACAGGCCAACGTTGTCAAGGTAAGGTTTTTCTTCTTTTTTTTTTTATTCTATAAAGTGTACCACAGAACCATCAGGTGCTGCACAGCGGGGCAGTGGCATACTGTAAAACCGGAAAGTCTAACAACCAAAACGTTTAACGTTTTAGTGATGTTTGGAATTATCCCCTGCAGAAAGTTGAATGATGGCTACCTGGCCACCCATCTGCATGCGCATCTTTACACAGACATCTAGCGATAACGTTTTTTCCCAAATCGAAAAATAATTGGTCGTTAAAACGACATTGTGACTCGTTAGACGTTCCGGTTTTACAGTATTGGATGGAAGTGGGGACAGGGCAGAAGTAAATCCTCCCACCAAGGGTCTCGGATTCATCGCTACTCATGTGCGCCGATACGAAGGAGAGAGGAACATGCGCATCGAATAGGAAACCACCTTCTAAAAACGATCATAGAGAGAATTGGAGGTTGAGATAGGACATGACAATTGTAAAAGCAGTGGAAATATGAGGATGATTTCGGTCTAGCACAGCTGATTCCTAATAGGCGATTCAGACTACGGCCAAAATCAGGTCTGAACTTGAATTTCCCTGGTGATGCAGTTGTGTTTCAAATAATTATGCACAATCGCTGATCAAACACGTATGAGTCGTAGAATCGTGGTCACAGTTGGTCGTAGTCTGAATTACCTATTGCGGTACGTGCGGTAAAGTCTGTCGGACCAGAGCATGTCCAGAGCGTTGTATCTTTCAGAGATTCCGGGTCACCTAGGAAACGGAACCATGCGTTCCCACCTCTCATAACTAGCATTCAGGTTTGCTGTTGCTATGCGGTTGTGGCTGAACACCGGTTTGAATGTTGCACCACAGTACTCTACCAGTCGGCCTACCACGAGGTATTGCATTGCTTTGCGTTTACCTGGGGCAAGTCAACTTCGGTCTCAACACACTCAAAGGTCTCTCTGTATGAAAGTATCCTTCTCGTCACCAAAATTTCAGGCCAGAGAGAGAGAGGGAGAGAGAGAGAGAGAGAGAGAGAGAGAGAGAGAGAGAGAGAAAGAGAGAGAGAGAGAGAGAGAGAGAGAGAGAAAGAGAGAGAGAGAGAAAGAGAGAGAGAGAGAGAGAGAGAGTGAGTGAGAGAGAGAGAGAGAGAGAGAGATGGGGGGGGAGAGAGAGAGGGAGAGAGAGAGAGAGGGAAAGAGAGAGAGGGAGAGGGAGAGGGAGAGGGAGAGGGAGAGGGAGAGGGAGAGGGAGAGGGAGAGGGAGAGGGAGAGGGAGAGGGAGAGGGAGAGGGAGAGGGAGAGGGAGAGGGAGAGGGAGAGGGAGAGGGAGAGGGAGAGGGAGAGGGAGAGGGAGAGGGAGAGGGAGAGGAAGAGGAAGAGGGAGAGGGAGAGGGAGAGGGAGAGAGAGAGAGAGAGATTGTGTTTGGTCTCTGTTCTATTTCCCTCGCAGTGTCCTTGTCTCTCTGTCTCTGTCATAGTGTGTTTGTGTGTGTGTGTGTGTCTCTCTCTCTCTCTGTATCTCTCTGTGTATCTCCTCCTCCCTCTATTTCTCTCCAAGTTCGGCGAAGACAATGGCGGCCGGCAAAATAGGAATCACACTATTTGACAGTAGTGGTGACCTTCTCTCCAACAGTAAAAGCGTTTATTTTATTTTTTTATTTTATTGGGAACACAGCCCTACAAAAAGACATGTGGAGACAAACACAAGACAAGACACAGGGGATGTAGGGACGACGTGCCGATGTACAGGGAGCAACTCGACCGACCAGGGGTCTCGGCGTTAGCGTTGCAACCTGGTACGTGTGTCTTGTAACGTTACTTCTGCTTGTTATCAGCGCTCACTTTGTTCCTAATCTTCAGTAGTGTGTCAAGTCCTGCGAGAAAGGAAATGATTTGCTTGACCGCTGACTTCCTCAATTACCGTTGTCTTTGACTCGTTTGCCTCAGACTGACCTTCACTGGCTCTGCTTGTGAGCAGCTGTGCAATGTTGACAGACAAAAAGCTGCGCGTAAACTTGGGACTTGTTTGACATGTCAATAGTTTTCCGTACGTCTTACCCCATCCGGGGTCTGTATCATGTCGTCGAAGAGCACTGCAGTTCACGAGGGAAAGGGCATAGAACAGTATTAGTAAGGTGATGCCAGATGTAAAGTTCGTTGTGTATGTTTCTGTTCGAATCGTCCAGAAAGACTCTCCCTACCACGATGAGTATTCGTTGGTATTCGTTTCTCGTGTGGTTGAACAATTCGTGTAGACGAGTCGTGGCAAAAAAGGCGCCATGCGGGCCGCTTTTCACATATGGACACATACTATAGGCAAGCGAGTCGTAAAATACAGGGTATTTGACCACTCCCTGCTACAGACTGTGCAGCTGGACTGACCAGAGAATCACAGCGCACAAATACACACAACGCGTTGGTTAGCTTTCCATCCCATGGGTTCTCATTCCAACGGCAAGTCCTCTCGAAACTGGCACTAGACACTTGCAGTGCACGAGATTGGGAAAAAGCAGTCACAACCATAGTGGGCATGTAAAGCTTAGTACTGTTATTGATCACGTGCCTCCCAGCTGCGTTCATGGTGCACGGAGCTTTCTCGTGGGAAAACTCGTGCAAAGTGTAAATGACGAACTCAGCCATACGAAGACTACTGTATAAACTTCGAGCAAGACTTAGACACTGATTGTGACGAAATTTAGATCGAATTTAGAATTTAGATCGAATTGGCAGATCGAATTGGTAAGCAACAGCACTCGAAAGGGATGACGTTCAGTTACGAGGGGTTAGCATGAGGGATGAAGTTCAGTTACGATGGGTTGGCATGAGGGATGAAGTTCAGTTACGAGGGGTTAGCATGAGGGATGAAGTTCAGTTACGAGGGGTTAGCATGAGATCTGATTAGTGCGTACGAACTTCGAGTCAGACACTTTTGCTGTGAAATTCGGATCGAATTGGTGGCAAACCGCAAGCAAAAGGGCTGAAGTTAGATTACAAGGAGTTCGCCTGCGGTCTGATTGCAGTAGTGCAGGGCAGAGCCGAGCTTGTCAAGGGCCGTTCCGAGTTTCGGGCCACCCGCCAGCCGGAAATCTCGGTTTTCCAGACAATACGGGGCACTCGAGCTGCAAGCGCTTCTTAGCGAATTAATATTTTGTGCATGGTTCATGGGTCGGCGATCATGCTTCCTGCAGCCTAGCCTTGGATATTCCGGAGTGGGCGAAAACTCGCTCTGAAGAGGTCTCTTGGACGTACACACACACACACACAGGTATACAATGTAGGTAGTAAGTACTCGGATACTGGTGGTGCTGACACGAATTCTCAGCTCCAGGACATGTGTCCATTAGCAAGCGGCGTGGCGCATTGTTGCGAATTGCTACCGTGCAAACTCACTGTTGCATAGTCCCAGGGCGAGCGAACCTGATCATTTTCTCGCCCGCTCCGGATGTATAGCCTAGCCTAGCGTCGTTGCTTGCCTTCGTGCTGTGTGCTAGTATACATGTACGTCTACATTGTATGCGTGCATACACCCAATGCTTGAGAGACTACCCCAAAGGCGAAGGGCTGTGGCAGGGAGCGTTCACTTCGTTCTTTGGCCTTTGAGCGCGCTGAAGATCAAGGTCAACGGCAGCCATTGCGCTGCGGACCGACACGGAGCAAAGTAGCGTATGCGTGAGCGTGGGTCGGCATCGTCACCACTAGCTTGGTGGCGTTAGTAACACGGCAGAGGTGGAGCGGAATACCAGCGTGAAGACAGCGCTGCTGCCCATTGGTCTGTCGCTAGGTGTGTTGGTGGCTGAACAACACAGTGCGTGGCTCTAGCGGATCGCACCGGAGAAGATGAAAGCCACATTGGTCCTCCTTGGAGTCGCCATTCTGGCTGGCGGCACTCTGGCGGTACTTCTTCCTGATCTTGACGACGGTAAGATGCCAAACTCTTGACTTCGTGCGGTTTGCCAGTTTGGAAAACATTGTGTGCTGAGGCCAGGCAGTGTGTTGAACGGCCTTCCTAACCATAGCCAGTATGCATTTCCGTTGATCATATTTTTGAGACCGCTCACCTGTGGGTGGTCATGCACTGAGTGACTGTCTGTTCACTATGATGGAGGTGCTGGACATGGTACAGGACACGGTATGAGTGCTGTGTGTGTATGTGTGTGTGTGTGTGTGTGCGGGTGCTGCGTACAGTGTGTTCCGCAATCGGCGATTTCGTTTGCTTTTCTTCCTGCGAGTGTGTTGCAAGAGGCCGTACCGGCGAGTCAGGAGCACTACTGGAGATAAACATTGTTCCAGTGCAGCCCGGTTTCCGTGCCCACACCTATGTACTTGTCGTTGGTTTGACAGCATAGCATGACACAAGGTGGAGGACACCGTGTTCGGAAACAGTGACCTTACCACAACCATCCACGGTTGGTAGAGCCCCGGTCAGTTGAGACCGTCTGAACCATAATTATGGGTGTTAAGTCAGTTCACTAAAACAAGTTTTATCTAATACCCTGTGTATGTACTTGTATTGTTCTGCTGTCTTGTCGTGGACACCGCCAAAAGTGTGTTCGATGTCAGAAAGTCATTTTGGTAATGTATAAAAGGAGGCGCCATCGCCTGTTTGTGCTGCGACTTATAATTCAACAACAATGATCAGACTTGCAGGCTATCAGTTTGTGAAATCTGCACTTCCTATGTCGGCTGCCCCAGGAAAGACACGCCCATGGAAGCAACCCTGTAGAAGTTCTGGTAGATAGCACTAAAACTGCACACCCTGCTGCCACCTCACGAGATCAGTGTCCCCATGCTGAGTGCGTGGCACGAAATCGATCCGTTATGAGTCTGCTCCGATGAGCCTAATCAGTACGTTGGCAACATCCATTCTTTTTTAAATCTGGCCATTCTTGCAGCAGTATGACCAGTACCGTGTTCACTTCGTCTTGGAGGTTGCACTTTCACATGTATGAAGGGAGGCGCCATCGCGTGTTCGTGTTGCGGCTTTTATTAGAGTTCAACAACAACATTGTTATTGAGGGAAG